AGCTGATGGAAGACGGTGCGCATTCAGGAAGAGAAGGAAGGGGCGGGGAAGGAGCTACTTACAGGAAGCGAGGGCAATGTAACACTTCTGGTCGTCAAAGGGAAAGAGTTCAAGGTCCATGTGGCAGGAGAGCGTGAGCGTGAGTCTGTTGACACAATGATACACTTGTCAGTCAAACCTGCATAACTGAAGTATGCCCTGCACTTGCTACTGTAAGTGTTGACGAAAGAAGGGAATGCCTCGCGTGGGGAATTCATCCCAAAGAGTTAGTCTCTGAAACTGACAAAGGGACCGCAGCAACTAGGAAGCTCCTATATGTCCTCGAAAAGAGTTTTTGGCCTTGTATAAAGATGTATATTTCTTATCAAACCATAGATCAGAGCGTTGACCTTTGCCAAATTAAAACCATCAGTCATCTGAGCTACGCGTGTCCAGATACTGGATGTAGCCAAAAATTACTGGGACATTTTTTTTCTTTTGTCTGTGAACACTACCCGGTGTATCCTGCATTCAAACGGTTTGATAAAAACTGTACGGTTTATTCTAGGAGAGGATAACACAACTGTCTGACAGGTGATGACGCCTAGATAGTGGTGAGCCTGTTTTTTTCTGACAGGAAGTGACATAAAAAACATCATTCGTAAACACATTAATAAATTCAAAAAAGTGTCTAGGAAGTTTTTGGGGCGGAGATCGTGCTGGGTTTAGTAGAGCCAAGATTTAAGATTATAATATTCAACAAAATTTATTTTACTGAAACCCTGCAGAAATTTTAGAATGGTGTGGTTAATACGCATATGGCTTTTAAATCATGCTATGTCTTTTTGGTCAATGGTAGGACTATATATTTCAAAGTGAAGATGTTTTCATAATCCAGTCATAACTAACAATACGAAATATGTATAGTTCCTTTGAATATAAGTCACCGCGCTCGTTCAAAGCGGCGCCTCACAGGTTGCCAAATCCTACCTGATGCTATACAAAACATCTCCGTTGTTTTGTATCCTTAACAAAATGTTGGGCATCGTGACAGTGTGAAGCTCCGCGTCCTTCACGTTGTTGAAGAAAGTGTCCGGCTTCCAGATTTTGCTCTGCAACTGCGGGGAAGAGAGGAAGGCGCCGGGAGTGACAAAACTCTTCTCTGACTTGGATCTCTGTTTTTTGTCATTTCGACGCACTATAACCCAAGTTTATGGTCAATAGCTTGTCTACTTTGTCTTCAGACTAAAGTACACATGAAAAAGAAAAAAACAAGCTGGCAATCACTCTTTTTACTAAAATTCCACAGAATTACATCATCTAACCGGGATACACGAGAGGTGAATGCACTTGGTGAATAACAATATATGTCTGTACCTCACTCGGGAACATGCCAACCACGGGGATTCCTGGCGCAACATAGTTTCTGGCTGCGTTTGGCACTAAACCATCTCGGTTTAATCGCAGACTATCACTGATTCTTTACATTGCCTCGGACATGTACCGATACAATAATCTGGATTACAGAGCGAAGCAGCGTCTATGACGGCGGTCATATGAAATAATTTACGAATGAGTCATGTCAGAGTAGGCGTCTGTAAACGCGGCAGCAGCAAGAGTTCACGTACGCCGCATTACACGTCGAGAGTAGAAATGTGAAGGATGAAAGATAGCAGCGATTTCATATCATTTAAGCCAACTAAAAACAGTAAACTACAAACTCAATATATACAATAACAAATGTACATGGTTACGTATCAGGGAATTCCTGGTCTAATACGTTTATCTATTTTTATTTTTCACAGTACAACAACAGAAACTATAATATATAAACGAGAGAACATTGCCAATGTGCTAGGCAAAAAAGGCAAAATAATCCGCGTACAGCAGATATGCCTGTGCCAGGCGATGGTCAGCAGTGCACTGCGCAGCAGCTGAACTAACCTCATTGCTCGTGATGGTAATCATGTCCTTTTGGATGACTGCGTTGACGAGCCGAGGGTCGTTCCATCGTTGCCGTAAGAATACATCAACCGTGTAATCCTGGGAATGAAAAGGAACATTTCGCCTCATAGCCTCCTCATAGAGAAGAAATGGATAGTATTATTCATTATGTCTGAATAATGGGTGAGCGAATTCACTAATGCTAAGCATTGAGAGAGGTATAGCTGAAGTAAACTAAATACAGGTGGAATGCAATTACAACTCAGGGTCTCAGATGTGCAAGATTGATATGCGCTCAGGAGCAGATGCCCATTCTCTTCCAAGCGTTTCGGAGATTTTATGCTTTCCAACCTCTCTGATGCCGTTGCCAAGCCATTAATAATCCACATTCTTGGCATCGCTAGTACATATATAAGTGTGTGTGTGTGTGTGTGTGTGTGTGTGTGTGTGTGTGTGTGTGTGTGTGTGTGTGTGTGTGTGTGTGTGTGTGTGTGTGTGTGTGTGTGTGTGCGCGCGCGCGCATATATATATACACGCATATATGTGCATATATATATATATATATATATATATATATATATATATATATATATGTATATACATATACATACACAAGTATACACACATATACATACACACACACACAAACACACACACACAAACACACATACACTTACACATATACATTCATATATATATATATATATATATATATATATATATATATATATATATATATACATACTTACATACATGCATACACATACGTACATGCATTCATACAGATATGCATATGTATGCATACATTTGTTATATTTGTAACGTATACATAATACATGTGTATGTAAATATATGTATATATACATATATACATATACATATAATATATGTATATATATATATATATATATATATATATATATATATATATATATATATATATATATATGTATATATGTATATATATATATATATATATATATATATATATATATATATATATATATATATATATATATATATGCACTGCGTCTGTGTGTGCATAAATATATATATATATATATATATATATATATATATATATATATATATATATATATATATATATGTGTGTGTGTGTGTGTGTGTGTGTGTGTGTGTGTGTGTGTGCATGTATGTGTGTATGTATGTGTGTGTGTATGTGTGTATGTGTGTGTGTGTGTGTGTATGTGTGTGTGTGTGTGTGTGTGTGTGTGTGTGTGTGTGTGTGTGTGTGTGTGTGGTGTGTGTGTGTATGTATGTGTGTGTGTGTGTGTGTGTTTGTGTGTGTGTATGTATGTATGTATGTATGTGTGTGTGTAAATATCTTTGTTTTTCACTGTATCTTTCAGTTCAGTGTGATTTTATTAATTTCACTATGATCATTGTTGCTCATCTCTTGCACTTTCGTATTTATTCGCTTTGTCATCGCTTATAGTGACTTGAATTATCAAATTCATGGCACACGCCTTTTTCGTGATATTAGCTGACGTTGTATTTTCATAATTATTTTCTTGTCATAAATAATTTAATTTACACAGGAAAATTCATTCTCAAGATTCTCCGACCTGATGTGACCTTTCTTTCATATTTCGGTCTATCCCGACGCCTATAACCTCAAAAAACAGCAAAATGTTTTTCTTATCATCATATAGTATTATATAGTACTGGGCGAAAATAAAGGCTATTTTATACTACTTATGCAGCTCTAATGCTTTGTTAGTTGTCTTTCAACTCCCAACAAATTTCAATCATGTCTTCATACAGCCTGTTGCTCATGCAACTTACCCCCTCATTTCAGTTAGCCCCCTGATGATCTTGGTCATTTCTATCCGCGCTTATGTTGATATTTCCCAAATAAGATGAGATTCGGTCACGCAATCTAGAGATATTAACAATGGTCAATTATTCTCATTCATGAAATGTTAATTTACTTTTTATCTTGACTACTGTAGCCCCTCAATACAACGTATTTGAGGAAGAGATTCAATTCCGTAATGATCCTTTTTACCTTACTTAAGGAATTTTTCTTAGCAGCAACTGCCTGCTTACGAGTATTACAATTTATGAATTATTCTATATGTAGACATTACGTTTCAGGTTATACTCGGGGTACCTCAGAAATATTCGAAGTTCTATATCATTCTCTTTATGCATGATTAAAAGAGCATTTATGAGATTATTACATGCATTATAATTTACAAATTACTGCACATTGAATATATATCACTTTCTTCACAATAAAGGCACTAATATATTTACATATTTTCTGCATTTATTTCATAATATATGGTTATACTGATAGCTTACTTATAATCTTATGGCTTCATATTTGGTTACCCACTCAAAACCTGAAGTTCAGCATACTTTCCAGGTTAGGTCACATCAGCTGTGTCCTCTCATTCTCAGCAGCAGCTGCTTCTCTTGACTCACTGCACAGACCTGACTGGCTGATACGGACACCTCTCACTGGACCACGGGCTCCCCATCACTCCCTACGCGCTTACACAGCATTAGTGTATTTATGCCGCAAAATTCGGAACCGAGATCTGAGGGAAAATCTGGACCCCCTAGGCGTTTCCCACAGTTCAAGGTTCCCTCTAAACCTGAAGGATTCGACAATGCCTACCGACTGGTCAGAGCATTGGAGATGCAGAGAAAAATCCGGTTGTCGATCTGGGTTGCCAGAGACCAGGGCATGATTATCGTGCCCAAAGACCAAGCTATCCTGCATTGCCTGTTGGAGCTTAAAGATGGGAGGAAAGTGTGTCTCTTACCACTGAATCCCGACGATAGGAGAGTCAAGATGGTGCTACTTGGCTTTTCAGTCTCATATGATGTGGAACTGATCACATAACATCCACAGGTCGTGGAGGCTTCCCGAATGTCGAAAGGGAAAACATCAACCAGGCAAGTCTTGGTGACCATGAGAACGTATGTGCCTGAGCCACTTCAGTGCTTTAAATGCTAAAAATACGGTGACTACCAGGCTAGCTGCACAGCCAAGCCTAAATGTGGTGTCTGTAGCAAGATACACAACACCGAGGTGTGCCTTAAGGTATACAAGGAAGAACAGAGGGACACAACAGCCAAATGTCCCAACTGTGCCAAGAGGCATCATGCCTGGAGCCTGGCTTGCTCTGTCAGGAAAGAAGCGGCCATCAGGCGACAAGAGGTTGCTAAAAAGCAAACAGACTTTGTTCCTGCTCCCCCAGGCACCTATGTCTGGGGAAAGAACAAAAGAGAAAAGGTCTCCCGACCTCCTAAGAGGAAGGAAGCTGCTCCCCAGCCGACACCGGATATCTTCAATAAAAAGGAGTTTCCAGCTATGCAAAAAGTATAGAAAAAAAACACAGGAATAAAGGTTCAAAGAACACTACAAAAGCCTCCCCAAAAGACGATAATCTCCTCTTTGAGGAGGAAGATATGACTCTCCTGTTGACTGCTGTAGTCAATGCAGTAGCAACAGCCTCACCTTGGCCACTGCAGCCCTGGTGGAGAGAATCAGCTAGTGTGTCGATGAGACTGTCACTCATTCTGGCACTATAACAATCCTCATGGATGCTAGCCCAATCCAAATGCCACAGCCAAATCCAAGATGGAAAACTGACAAGGCCAACTGGCAGGCGTTCCGGAACGCCTTGGCCCACTGTCTGAGGTGCAATGAACCCCCATAGAGTGAAAATGTGGAAGTGCTTGAAGCCAGAATTATCAGTGCCATAAATCAAGCAGCCTCACTGACCATACCTAGGACTCGGCCTGGGCTCAAGAGTCACAAAGACGCCTGGTACTTTAACAACGAGATTAGGGAGGCTGTCGGGATGCCAAGGAAAATGCCGAGTCAGGCAAGAAAAGTGGCTGGAATGGTGTGAGTCCTTCGGCCACCAAACCATGTTATCTTTTCTCTGAGGGAACTAAGAAAAAACTACAAAAACAGTTCTCGCTCAGCTCCGGGTTCTGATGGGTTTTCGTACCCCATCATTTCCCACCTAGGACTAGCAAGTGAGGTTGCACTCTTGCAACACATCAACAAGTCCTGGGAAACTTCCACTCTCCTCCAGAGCTGGAAGAGGGCTACCATAGTTCCCATCCCAAAACCAAAGGAGCCAGGGAAGTACCACCCTATCTCTCTCCTCAGCTGCCTGGTCAAGACGCCCGAGAGGATGGTACTAAACCGAAACCAATGGAAAATGGGAACCCCACATGAACACCTCCAGGGCTTCGCAAGGTGCATGAACACAGCACACAGCATAGCCATGTTCTTAAGCACAATCAGCAATGGCACATCTGAGGTAGTATTCCTAAACCTGGATGGAGAAGGCTTTCGAATTAGCAATTCCACTTGTCATTCAGGAGACCCTGGTCCAGAAGGAAACCAGAGGAAAGCACTTGGCTTGGATAGTGACTATTTCAGGAACAGGACAGCCAGAGTCAGATTCCAAGGTCACCTATCATAGCACATGCCACTAGAAAATGGAGCGCCACAGGGTCCAACAACCTAATGTCCTGCATCCTCAACATACACCTCCCAATGGGGTACAAGATCATCTCCTATGATCTTGCAATCACCTCCACTGGACCATACTGCCTAAGTAAAGCCCAGAGTTGTCTGGACCTTGTATCTGAGGAGTCGCAGGGCAGGACTAAAGATCTATACAGCCAAATCAAAATCCCGATCCTCCAGACGAGCACGACAAAAGCAATAGCAACACAGGGACTGCCATTAGCCGATTGGGGAGCTTCTCCGTTGATCTCCACTTCAACTCCAGCCCCCCACCAGCGGGCACTCACACCCACAACAAACGCTCCACAAAGAGATAAGACACCAGTCCAAGTAGTAGATGAATACCTATCTACTACAGTCATATGGATTTACTCTCCAATTGTACCGAAGTGCTGCTACAAGACTTGCGTGAGCTATATCGATATGTTGTTTTTCTCTCATTTTTGTGAATGACACATCTTTGTTTTGTTCGAAATTACTGACCATATTTATTAGTATTCGTATTAGTATTTAGAATATATATATATATATATATATATATATATATATATATATATATATATAGAGAGAGAGAGAGAGAGAGAGAGAGAGAGAGAGAGAGAGAGAGAGAGAGAGAGAGAGAGAGAAAGAGAGACAGAGACAGAGACAGAGACAGAGACAGAGAAAGAGAAAGAGAGAGAGAGAGAGAGACAGAGAAAGAGAGAGACAGACAGAGAAAGAGAGAGACAGACAGGCAGACAGACAGACAGACAAACAGACAGAGACAGATAAATTATTCGTTTGGATATTCATTGGTAATTCATCTATTCATCTGTGTGTGTGTGAGTGGTAGTTGTAGTATGTGTGTGCCATTTTAATTGTAACTTCTTTATTGCTGCCAAAGCATGAGGGCCTCCCCCAAAAAAGTGTGCCGGTGACATAGAAAACTGCCCCTAAAACATTTCCCGAGGGGAGGCTCTACCTCGTGAAGAAAGAGATCGAGGCACTCACCATGTTGGCGGCGTTGAGCGACCCGAACGAATTGATGAACATCTGTACCGACACATTCGTGGGAC